ATCTAAAATATACCTGGAACTCAAAATATTAAATCCCTCAACAACAAATCCTCAAAGAAACAACTGCCCAATAAATAAGTGGGCTAAAGACTTAAAGAGAAACTTTTCTGAAGATGAAAGAAGGATGGCCAATAGATACATGAAAAAATGCTCAACCTCTCTGGCCATAAAAGAAATGCAAATCAAAACAACATTGAGATACCACCTCACCCCAGTTAGAATAGCTATAATCAAGAACTCTGATAACAACAGATGCTGGAGGGGATGTGGACAGAAGGAATCCTACTGCATTGTTGGTGGGAGTGTAAACTTGTTCACTTTGGAAAGTAGTATGGAGGTTCCTCAAAAGATTCCACATAGAGCTTCCCTATGACCCAGCAATCCCACTTTTGGGCATTTACCCAATGATCACAAACAAGACCATACTAAAGCTACCGGCACAACTATATTTATTGCAGACTCCGTTTCTGATGGCAGCAGGCACTGGATTCCCACCCAGGGTCCGGAGAAGAGAATGGAAGCCAGCAGGGGGCAGCAGAGGCTCAGGCAGGTAGGAAGTGTGTGGGTCCAGCACCACCTGCCTCCCTCAGTCTGAGTATTTCCTCCTCCGTCTCCCTCTGACTGGATACAATTCTCCTGACAGATGTGCTAGAACACCCGAACTTTCTGCATGTCACACAGTAAGTAGGTGAGTTTAGGAAGCTCTCCAAGTGTTGTCACTTGAAAAATAGAGAATATTGTACTAACTCACAAGATTAAATAAGTAAATCTCTGGGAACTACTCAGAGCTGTGCCTGGCACATAGTAACACTACAAATACAGCAGCTATTGTTCATAGTGTCATTGCTTATTGAGCACTCAGGATAGAAAGATGGCGTGAATAAGATGAATTAAGATAGGTTTGCACAGAGAAAGCTGGCAGGATCATGAGAGGTAGATAAGGAACTACTGCCTAATTCTGAGAAGGAAAAAAGAGGCAAGTGGGGGTATGGACAGTATCTGGAGGCTGAAGCAATCCAAAGCAGCTTCAGAGGAGGGAAATGGTTAAGGACTGAGATATAGAGACCTTCTGAGTAAAGAGAACAACACATAGAAAGTTAATAGGTGTAGGGAACTTTGAGTTTGAGTCCTTCCATTTGGACCACAGTGCTAGACGCAAAAGAGAATGTAAAAGGGAAGAGAATGGAGAGGTAAGTAGGGTCCAGGTCATGGCAAGAGTAGAGGGTCAGGGACTTAGGGCTTGGGTCTGTGATCTCCCAATGCACATAATCCCCACTGTGGCATACGGGAATAAAATGATCGGTTATGGGGCCTGAACTCTGAGCCTGGGCACAGTCTCTCAGCTCTTCAGCTAGCACCTTGAGCCACAGCACCACTTCCGGCCTTATTCTGCTTATGTGGTGGTGAGGAATCGAACCCAGAGCCTCATGCATGCACGGCAAGCACTCTACCACTCAGCCACCTTCCCAGCCTGAGAAAAAAAACTAACATTGGTATTCAGTTGCGTTTAGGAAATCAGTAAAGCAGAGCTCTGGGTGTATCTGTGAGGCATTTTCAGAGAAGATTAGCTAAGTGGGAAAGAGTTGCTCTGAATATGGTTGAGACATGGTCTTGTTTACAATTCAGACTGGCCTTGATCTTGCAGTCTTCCTTGCCTCTGTTTCCTCAGTACTGAGACTACAGCATACACTACCATGTTCATCACATAGTAGGCGTAAGGGGCAGATCCTGGATTCAAAACCTGCTTTTAATATTAAAGTCTATGGTTTTAACTTTTAGAGGATACAGTCCTTATCATCCCTCCCCGCCCCCCAATCCCATATATTTCTTTGAAATAAATTCTCAGGCATTGCGATTCTTGGGACCAATGAATAAGGATTGGGGTGTGTGTGTGTGTGTGTGTATGGTTTGTCACTTTGTTTTTCCAAATGAAGGAAACTTTGGGAGACTCTGCAAGATAATGACAAATTCAAGTCCTATGTAACTATTTGTGTTCAAGGCTTTTCTGAGACTTTGTGTACTTCCTGGTGTTCTGTGAACCACATTATATTTTTTTCCATTATTGTACTGGGCAATGAAGTCTGGGAGCTCTACAGACAACCAGCAGTTCTCTCAGCGTTCTGATCAGGAAATACCCATGCCCAACAGCCCCAA